GTTGACTGCTCCCTTTCATTGTTCCCTGCACACTTAAGTCAATGATTGGACTTTGGAACCCAAGCCAGCTTAGGTCCTTATAATGATAGAACTGGCGGATCAAACTTCTTTTTGTCCATGCAGGCAGCACATATTTTCTTTTCAGGGAACCAGGTTCCTCATCAGTACACTTTTTTTAACAAAAACTTTGTTTTTCTGCAAAGACTGATTTTTAACTTTACAAGAGTCCTTGTAATGACTAGTTTGACCACAGTGAGTGCACAACCTATTATCAGCCGTAGTTACAACTTCCTATGGGGATTATAGGAGGTTTTAGCCTTTGGGAACCCGATTCCTTGCCTGTTTCCACCATTACTCCTGTATATAGACGTTATCATATCAGAGGACCACGTCTATTTTAGTGACTTATCAAGATCATTTTTAACCCTTTTTAAATCCTCTTGAAGTTGTCTATTCTTTTCAAGCTAAACAACAAGCCTTGTTTTAATTTTCTTAAGCTCACTCTCAAGCTCAAGTTGAGCCTTTCTAACCACTTCATCTCCCTCAGTGTTGTCCATCCATTTTTTTGTTTGTTTTCTCAACAAGTTGTGTTATCTAGTTACTTCTTCCATTTGTTCCCTTAAATCTTTAAAGGAAACTACCATATCATCCCTTTCTTGCTCTGTGGCTGCAATTTTCTCTACTAGAGTATTCTTCTCTTTGCTAAGGTTCTCTATGGTTTTCTTCAAGTCAACAACCACTACCATCAAATCATCTCTAGATTGTTCGGTATTTCCTAACTCTATGATTAGGGCATCATTATCATTAACAAAATTATAATATGTATCAATTAGAACATTTGCCAATGACATCAATTTCTTCGAAGAGTAGGACTTCAGACTTCTCTGAACATCCCTGAAATTTACCTCATCATTGTCATCCTCTTCATCCTCATCGGACTGAGCCATCAATGCAAACAATGAATCATCTTCATTTTGCATTGCCATCATGAAGTTGCTTCCTATATCTGCTTCCTCTTCTAATTCACTGGAGGATTCTCCCCATGCAGCAAGAGCTTGCTTCACAACATTGTCAGCTGTACTTTTTTGGCTGAGTCGTTTGTCAGGAACCAGGTTCCTTTTTGCTACTTTGTTAAAGTTGTGTTTGTGATGCTCTTGTTTCAGAAATAGGCAGTCTTTGATGAAGTGTCCAAGCTTTCCACACTTATGACAGCAATCATTTCCTTTAGAATTCCTGCTAGAACTTCCTTTCTTTAGGATCCCACCATTTTTGCCACCCATCTTCTGAAATCTTTGTGGTTTATTGGTTGATTAACTTTCCTCGAAGTTTGGTGGAGCAACCATGTAGATCCTTTCTAGGTGTTAACCTTTTAAAAAGAACCTGCTCTAATACCAATTGTTAAAACTATGCGTCCACCAGACTGTATAAAGAACCGGGTTCTTTATGAATTTTCACTAAAGATACTGATGAACCAAACTGTATAGCGATCTGGTCCTATATCAGTTTGGTACAGTGCTAACTGCGTAACCAGTATGTAGATGAGACACAGGATAAGTTCTCACTGTATAGAGAACCAGGTTCTCTAGCAGTTCCTATTATAAGCAACAGACTATGCAACCAATCAGTGCAGAGAATCAGTTTCTCTAATTGTTCCCACAGTAGCTCGGTAGTAAGTAAAGAACACAGAGGATTTTTATGTGGAAAAATCCCAACTCAAGCGGACAAAAACCATGACCTACACTTGTAGGCTTTCAACTTCACTAACTTGTAAACACCTATTACAAGCCACTTTGTAATACCTCTATTACAAAGGATTTAACTCAACTAACTTATGACACTCTCACCATAAGCCACTTTGTGACTCTCTAGTTACAAAGACTTTGACTAACTTGTGATACTCTCACCACAAGACAATTTCTCACTCTCTAGTGACAAAGACTTTAATTACTCTAACTTGTAGCCACTTTGTAATAACTCTATTACAAAGGCTTTACAACTCGACTAACTCTAGCCAAGTCACAAACTTGGAGGGTTTGTGATTTTCGTTTTCCTAAAATAGCTTGTAAGAAAGCAAAATAGGAGTTACAATTGAAGAACAAATAACAAAGACTCAACAAACCTAAGGACTTAAGATATATTCAATCTTGGATCCGGTCGTTGAGGTTGAAGCAGCTTTGTTCTTGAGAGAGAGGTTGTTCTTGCACTTGAGAGAGGATTTTGGTTTCTAATTTTGCAAGTTTTGGAGAGGATGTTTTGTTCCTTGCACCAGGTTTATAATGTAAAAGAAAACACAATGGTGATGTCAAATCTTGGTTAGTACGTGTCTTTTCCCAAAGGGAAGTGACTGTTGCACTGTCTACTGAACTGTTGCGTGTACAGTTGCAGGCAGTCACTTTCTACACTTGCTTTCCAGCTGTATAGTTGACTTAGACTTCTGTCAGGGGAACACCAAGATATCAGGTCCCTAATCAGGTTCCTATGAATCTAAAGCACACTACCCAGATTATCTTGAGTCGATTAACTTGAATGATTGTACCAGACATGCTTCAGGTCCTTTATCTAGTTCTCTCATGAAGTAAGTTATTTTACCTTCCTTGATTGTATTTATACTTGTGTGACATCACTTACAATGATGTAAGCAAGGTAGGTAAGAAGCCTTCCACAGAAAGTTGACTAATGCACTGTTCATGTACAATAGCGTGTGCAGGTAGCAACTTTCCTACTGGAGAGTTTACTTCATACAGTCTCCTCAGGAACTAGTAGGGACCTGTTCCCTCAGCTGTTCCTTCCACTCTTCCTCACTTGAGTTATTGCTATCAGCTTTGAGTACCAAGTTCTTTTCTTTCTTTGGTTCTCTTCTTTCACTATCTATCTTCCTCTTCATCTAGTAGGTCTTCAGATTTCCAACCAGCTCTTCTATGGTCAGCTTCTGCAAGTCCTTTTATTCAGTAATAGCATTCACCTTGCTTTCCCAAGGGCTAGATCACAACCTGGAACTTTGTGATCTCAGGGTCTTGTAAATGCGTAACATGTTCCTTATCTGGTTCTGGATGGTAAGTTTGTTAGATCATCAAAACATAAAGTAAAGTACTTGTGCCCAAGGTACGTGTAACCTATCACGCAAGGACTGGGGCCCTCCCCTTGAAGCTCCATGACTTGTCATCACAAAGAGTTGTATCAGTAGACAATGGTAAACAGCCAAAGAGTGATACAGAGGAAGACACTTACCAGATGAAACTTTCGGCCCAAAGCGTTTTACAAAAAAGGGCCAGTCTCGAGTTTCCACTGCATGAAGCAGCAAACGAGCTACCCAATCCCTTATACCTACAATGGGATGGGGTGGACACCCCATAGCTTCAAAAGATATCCGCAAATTAACACTAAGTCGGACGAAGAAAAAAGAGAGTAAACGAGTTACGACACCTACGATTCTCATTCCACCGCGCCGAGAATCTAGCGGGATCAAACATGATGTGTTCAGTTCTGACGAAGAAGTACTTATACCAAAATTTGTGACTCGCCCGGTCGTCAGTTCCGACCACTATCCCTTTTGTCCCACAGTGCCTCATATGCACCATAGTACCCCTGTGAAAGCTAGGAGAAAACAAGTGTAGGAGGTGGTCAACGGTAACTTCGCACCCTGCCAACTCTGTGTATTTTGTCAACACCAGGAGTATTTTGCACGTGTACGGACAAACCCTCCACCTATTTATAAGATTGGGTGGCGCCAAAATCGAAGCGGAAGGCTGCAAAGGACACCAAAATTGAAGTGACAAACCATCAGCCTCTGTCTCGAAAACACACATAATGATGACACACATGGAAGTGACATCATTTCCCCACAAGACACACCACCCAGGATATCGTTGAGCATGCTAACCTTCTGTTGTTGGCCAAACCATTACAATTCATAAACCAAATTTCTCCGCAGGTGTGGGCGATGTCTGCTTATCGAGGACGCATCAAGCCGCAACCTCGACAAGCGGAGGGACTAACTGTATAGGTCCAAATTTGGACGACCACGGCCACTGACGAATATGACAAGGGATGAGACACTTACGACACAGCATCCTATGGTCGTTGAAGATGGCGATGACTGACAGCGGTTAGAAGACGCACGACATTTGTAGTAGTGTAGGCGCAACATGAGACAGCAGGAATATACTTTCGAATATTCTCTATGTCATATCTTTTAAGGTTCAAGAGGGGGTTGCTCCTTATAAATAGAAGGGGAAGACTTTGTAAAAAGGGGATCGATATATCCTACTGACTTTGGGCTACGAGCATCCATTACAATATCTTTCTACATTCAAAGTTGTCATATTTATGCTTAATCGTTCGGTTTCATGATATTAAGAAACATTATTCATCTTGTTTATCCCTTGCATCTTTCAATCTAGAGTTTATTATACTTGGCTAAGATTTACCTCTTCGTCTTCTTTAATTGATTTAATCAAAAAGGTTTCAATAACTTTTGGGTCAAACAGCTTTCACTACCTTCCGCTCAGACAATTGAATTTTGTTTCTTGGCCGTCCCCTGCCCATGCAGGCGAGGGCGCAAGTTAGCTAGCAACGCTATCGTGCGCTAGAGAGAGAGGTCGACGCTATTTTCAAAGTTGATGTTTCTCAACTCATGACATTCTTTAGAAGGTTCAACTAAGAGTTTTAACTATTAAAAGTTTTGTAAAACTTTAATGAGATATTTCAAGAATTTTAGCCTTGTCTTTATGACTGAATTAACACGATACTGCAAGCCAAATAGACCATTGGTAAAACACGCATGTTATATGGATGAGAGTAGTTTTCGTCGAAGTGTACTTGTATTCTTGGTAGGTTATATTTGTGATATATTCTGCACCCTATATAATACAAAAACAATTTTCGTATTTTCCGTTCTCACAATCTTTTTCCAATAGATATTGAACCCTACTTACATAGCTTGTTGGCCGCCAGCAAAAACAAATATACAAAACCTGATCGCCTTCCAAAACCAAGTATACATGGAGAAAAAGAAGATTGTTGCCATTCGTAATTTATGTATTCCTCACGAGATTACCTTTGAAATTCTAAAAGAGGTTCCTGCCAAGTCTTTAATGCGGTTTAGGTGCGTTTCGAAATCCTTTTGCTCCCTTATATCATAACCCTTATTCATTGAAGCATATCAAAAGTTTTCCGCTGCTCAATTTCATGTAAGTTGCTCATCTTTGACGACTAGCGAAGGTGCCATTCAGTACTTGAATCAGTCACGTTTCAGTAAGCTTCACTCTCTTGCATCGACCAATGGCTTAGTTTGTCTATGGAACTTTTATGGGGATGTTGCTGTTCTTAATCCTTTTACACAAGAACATATCTTTCTTCCTTGTCAACAACCTTTAATCGGCCGTTGCTCCCTGGGATTTGATCCCACCACCAAAAAATATAAAGTAATCAAGGCACAGTGGATACGAGGGGGTCGAACTTCATGGGAAGTGAGATACTGCATTTACACTATCGGGGTGGACAAAACATGGAGAGAGATTCCTGACTGCGCCAATGTTCTCCCTCAATACAATTTTGTTTATATCGGCGGAGTCATTTATTGTGTAAATAGCCTTTCAAATCCTTATAGTATAGCTGCATTCAGTGTGGAAGAAGAAAAGTTTATTAGAATGATCTTGTTACCTGATGGGATGTTGGCAAAAAATTCAAAGATAGTAGAAACAAAGGGTCAAGTTGCACTTGTAGATCACAGAAATATTAGAGGCGATGGCCACATTAGTTTGTATGTTGTGAATGGTACTGGTAAAACTCAGACATGGGTGAAACATATAATTGCGCTGCCACCATGAGAGATAATAAACACAAAATAGTTTCCTTTATTTAACTCCAACTCTAAGGGAGAGATTGTATTGATTCCGGACGCGGGTAGAACGATTTTGCAAATGTTCTTATATGACATTGCAAAGAAAGATTGGAGAAAAGTTGATATACATGGAATTTGTGAACGAGTACGACGTATGAGTTGGATTGGTATTTTGCTAAATCTTGTGGAGAATATTTGGTCCCTCAAATAACTACTACTACGGTTGGATGGTTCAGGAGCCTAACTAGATCTCTCTATTGTATTGTTCAAAATTTGATCACTGTGGTCGACTCAACTGGGGTCCCACCCAAGCGGCGGGACAATGAAAGACGTCATGATTTGTTCCAAACTACGTACTCACAATACCTGCTAAGTTGAAGAACACTACTCAGATAACGACGAAAATGGACGCGGTATGAAAGTGCATTAACCCATGAACATAACAGATTCCATGACTATATATATAGAGGGGACCTTCCTAGAAAAGAGGGTTTTTTTCTCTTTTTCCTCTCCGTTGTAACCTTCTTAGCAAAATGAAGAGAGAAAAATCTTCCATACATTATGCAAACAGATTATCTCCATCAATCAGTGGGAAAAGAAATGAAAAATATCAATGAGATTGATTGTCCCCATTTTATCTTATACGTCATTTTCTGTTTTTTTTATGGATCTGGAATTTACTATGCGTGACTAAGATTTACCTCTTCATCTTCATTAATTGATTTAATCAAAAAGGTTTCAATATCTTTGGTCAAACAATTTGGCGCCGTCTGTGAGGATTTCTTAGTGAAATTTCCTAGTCTCTTCCAGATCAAAAACCATAAACATGATCACCCACCAAAAAGAGCGGTAAGTAAACCTCACACGCCAACCTAGATCATGATGCTATATACAAGCAGAAGCTGCAACCAACATCCTCCCCCGCATGCCGGGCAGCCCAGTAACCAGCCAAAGCAAGCCCAAAACTGCACAAGGCCAAGGCACGAAAAAGGAGGGGAAAGAGAGCTGAATACGGCTGCCGAATTCAGAAGCCACCGCCCCATCAGCCATTGAAATGCCAAGCAAAACGAGCAATGCTATAGATCCACCCTCATTCACCAACTCTTCGGATCGGAATAAGGAGAATATTATGTTGGCCCACCTTCTGTTGTTCGCTCAAACAGGAGCACAAGCGCTGCGCGGGCGAGCGAGCAAAGAAACATTTCAACTGAAAATTGGGAAATTACTACAAAACAACTGAAATATCGTCTGCTTGACAACCAAACTTCCAGAAAATGATGCCCCTTAAAATGCACCCTCTCTCCCTCACATAGGAATTGTTCTGAAAAAGTACTCCCCAGGGACTTAGGGACCAGGTTGACGAGGGGGACATCCTCGAGGTCAAAGTGTCCCACCCACCAATGACATCTCAAGATCGGAAAGCGAAAAGATTAGACAGGGAAACTCCAATATGCGCATGATACGAGTGTGAGCAAAACAACAATGTTTTATGCTCCCCGACACCACCCGCTTCGATGCAAATAAGATCAAATGAACTAGGACTCACCCCGGAAGCACAGAGGTTGAGAAAAACTTGGACTCCCCCAGAAGACACCCAACTCTCCAAAAAAACTGGGACTAACGACGGGTTAATATTTCGATGAAAGTTCGAAATAATACCCTTAAGGCCAAGGGCCTTTGCCAAAGAAAAGAGTTCGACCTCGATCAAACAACGACGGGTTAATATTTTGATGAAAGTTCAAAATAACACCCTTAAGCCAAGGGCCTTCGCCAAAGAGGAGAGTTCAACCTCGATCAAACAACGACGGGTTAATATGTCGATGAAATTTCAAAATAACACCATTAAGGCCAAGGGCCTTCACCAAAGAGGAGATTTTGACCTCGATCGAATGACGACGGGTTAATATTTTGACGAAAATTCGAAATAACACCCTTAAGGCCAAGGGCCTTCGCCAAAGAGGAGAGTTCGACCTCGATCGAACAACAGCGGGTTAATATTTCAATGAAAATTCGAAATAACACCCTTAAGGCCAAGGGCCTTCGCCAAAGAGGAGAGTTCGACCTCGATCGAACAACAGCGGGTTAATATTTCAATGAAAATTCGAAATAACACCCTTAAGGCCAAGGGCCTTCGCCAAAGAGGAGAGTTCGACCTCGATCGAACAACAACGGGTTAATATTTCGACGAAAATCGAAATAACACCCTTAAGGCCAAGGGCTTTCGCCAAAGAAAAGAGTTTAACCTCGATCGAACAACGACGGGTTAATATTTCGATGAAAGTTCGAAATAACACCCTTAAGACCAAGGGCCTTTACCAAAGAGAAGAGTTCGACCTCGATCGAACAACGACGGGTTAATATTTCGACAAAAATTCGAAATAACACCCTTAAGACTAAGGGTCTTCGCCAAAAGAAAGGAGTTCAACCTCGATCGAACAATGACAGGTTAATATTTTGACAAAAATTCGAAATAACACCCTTAAGGCCAAGGGACTTCGCCAAAGAAAAGAGTTCGACCTCGATCGAACAACGACGGGTTAATATTTCGACAAAAATTCGAAATAACACCCTTAAGGCCAAGGGACTTCGCCAAAGAAAAGAGTTCGACCTCGATCGAACAACAACGGGTTAATATTTCGACGGAAATTTAAAATTACACCCTTAAGGTCAAGGGCCTTCGCCAAAGAGAAGAGTTCGACCTTGATCGATCGATGAGGGATTAATATTTCGACAAAAATTCGAAATAACACCATTAAGGCCAAGGGCCTTCACAAAAGAAAAGAGTTAGACCTCGATCGAACAACGACAGGTTAGTATTTAGACAAAAGTCGAAAATAACATCCTTAAGGCCAGGAGCCTTTGCCAAAGAGTACAGTTCGACCTCGATCGAACAATTACGGATTAGTATTTCGATGAAATCTCGAAACATCCTTGAGGCCAAAGAACATTTTTAACAAAAAAGGGGAAAGCAAAATTGGGACTCGCGACGGGGATAATACTTCGATATAAGCTCAAAAGTAACATCCCTGCGGCTAAGGTCGCTATTAGAAAAAAAGTTTGACTCCATCCGAACTGTGATAGGACAGTACTCCGACACAAGTTCGAAAATACCGCCCCGACATCTAAAGCCATCATCAAAATCCCAGTCAATTCTTATGGCATTAAATTCCCTACGAATCGGGAACTTGCCACATAGAGATCTACTTCTTTGCACCAGAGTTATGAAAAGCAAAATAGAGAAAGAAATATAGGAGGAGTACAATAATGAAAAATTCCTCTTTATACGAAGCCACTGTGCAAATAGCGGCAGATTACATACGGCTAAAACCAACAAAATCCAAGAAAAAATAATAAACAACCAATAAAAAAACAAACAAAGACAACAATTCTTTCACTCGGCATCATCACCGCCACCCTCGTCACCACCATCTCCAGGAAGTCCTCCTTCATCATCACCACCCTCATTGGCCTCTAGCGACGCAGGGTCATATCCACAGTTAACACAAGCCTCTCGTACCTTCACCCGTGCTCCTTCATATGCGGCCTCGGAAACATTGCTCGCCTCCCACAAACTCTTATATATATATATATATCCCGTTGGGCTTTATCATGAATTCAAAGCTCGTGCAAATGGCGGGGAACAGCGGTGGAGGAAGATTCAACTTGAGCCAATAGTTACGCCTTTTCGGCCTCAGGAACAGCAACCTGGTCCCTTAAGGTCGACGCCTCCTAGTCAATCTCACCAATACGCTCCTCGAGCCTCGCTTCCCTTAGCGTGCCCGTCGCCCTCTCTGATTCCTGCTTGGATTGGAGGACGCGGATAGTGTTCTCTAGAGCCACCGCCCTTGCCAAAGCCGATGACCAGTCACTCTCGATGTTTTCCAACCCGGAAACCTTTCTCTTCAACTCGGTCAACTTTCCCATCCACTCAGCGCTCATCTCCTTGATCCTGATAATATTCTAATCCATCTCAGATTGCATCGACCTCAGCTTCCCTTGAAGATATTCGCACTCTGCAACAGCCCCTTTGCCCAACTCAAGCTCTTTGTCCTTTGCACAAAGTTGCTCCTCGAGTACGCTATTTCTGCGAATAGCCTACATCAGCTCCTGATCCCTCTTCTCCAATTTCTTGCCGAGGGATCGATCACCAGGGTTCGCCTTCAGCCGCTCATGCATCTCATAGCATTTATTGCGATAATGCTGATATTTCTCCAACATCGTTAGGAAAATCTTGGCCCGAGTATCAGCCCTACGAGTGCTCTCAATCTCCACCATGTACGTCTAAAAAACGAAAAGACGGGCTAAGGCCAAATCGTCAAGAAAAATAAAAGGAACATGAAAGAAAAGTGAAACGTACCCTCAAACCCATAGTGGCCACTTCATGCATCAAATCAATACCAGGAATGTTCTGCAGAGCCTCGCTCTCGGCGGCGGAACACAAGAGGTCAAATTGCGGCACCAGGTCCTTCGTATCTCCCAAAAGGTTAATATCTGATACGATCTCAAGAATACAGAACGGGCCTCCCGCATGAACCACCAAACGGGTAAGACCCTCTTCAAACATCCTGACATCATCACGATCAAGATCAGACTCAGATTCGTAGTCGTCGACCACGACACCCTTTCCCCTTTCTGCTGCCGAGAAGGAAGCATGACCAGGCACTAAAGATGAAGGCCCATCCAAAGCAGTAACCACGACCTCAAGAGTCTGACTTTACGTCGCGGCAGGTTGTTGGTCAATCATAGCGGCTGGGATCTTTGTCGATGGGGCAGATGCAATGGCTGGCTCTGTCTCTACAGGTGGCATGGCATCAACTCCCGCCTCAGATCCCGTCAAGGGGAGGCCATCCTCTGGACATACCATGGCTGAAGGAGCCATTTCAGACTCTATTCGCCGCCTCTTTGATGGCCCCTCCCCATCTTTAGCAAAGGAAGATTCGCTCATTTGGGTGGGTAACAGGGGTCGGAATCTCAGTTCCAGTAGTA